GGCTGCCTGATGTAAATAAGATTCTAGCATCTTCTTGCGTCGCAAAACACACTGAAAAGTATACAATAAATCATTGAGACTATTTGCTAAAGATTTTAATGATTCATTCTGCGCATTAACTGCTTCACGAATTACGGAATTGCTATCATCCGTGCGACTCATACGATCTTCCTCATTTTGAACTGGACAAGTTGGATATATGATTTTACTCGAAAGGTCGTCCCAAAGTTCTTGAACCCTATTTGCAAAATTTTCAACGACAGTTGACACAGTATTTCCTTCGCCTCCAGGAGAACTCGGATGATTCATTAAGAGGATCTAAGAAGAACAACATATTAAATTACATTTTCCACTATAATCGATAATGACGATAAGATTAAAAAATATAAAACACTGAACCTGTTGGATTTGACGTGCTTCGTTTTCAAGTTGAGCACCATCTTTCATGTATTGATCGACTATTACACGTTGTTTAATAATATCTCTTGCGAAATCGTCAAGGAGTTTTAATCCATCAACCAGATCATTGAGAGCTTTATGCAGTGATCGAACGTGTTCTGGGACTTGTTTTTCGGATGCTTCCATTTTCGATTTATAATTATTGAATTTTTCATTGACTGGATGTAAAGTATTTTCGTCAAATTTGGACAAATTTTCTTTGATAGCATCAAGTTCGAGAAGAAGTTTTTCGCGAATTTCTTCTAGATTGTCATTATCTTCTATTGAATTTTGATTGGATTCCCAATTGGCTTTGGTGAATATAAATTTATCGAGCTGGCTTTCAATGTCTTTGGCTTCTTTTAATCCTTTTGCGAGATTTCCAGATAAATCCATGGTGTCTTGGTAGGAGTTTAGTAAATCATCCAACTCTTTAGATAAAGCGTCAAGCAATGCAAGTTGATTATCGATGGCCTAGAGAATCGTTATAATTCAGTTAATATAAATTGGACTATTTGAAAAGTTTTAAAATTTAAAAATAATTAAAAGAACCTCTTTAATCGGAACGTTCAGGTCTTCAGAGGCTAATGGATCGTTAGGATGAACAATTTTTTCTGCATAATTTGTTTTTAGATCATTTAAATCATTTTTAAAGGTTGCTAATTTATCTGAAAATCCGGAATCTGATTCGCCTTTTTCTTCAGCAGAGGTAATTTTCGATTTAAGCAATTCGCCTTCCTTTTGTACGATATCTGCTTGTTTCATGAATGCATCAACTGAATCTCGTTGTGCCAGAACCTGTTTAGCGAGATTCATTCTAGACAATAGATCAGAGAATTTTTGATTTAGAGCAATTTGACGTGCTGTTATATGTTCTGGGGTTTCTTTTGAGAGGAATTTTTTTATTGCGGCTTCCAATTCATTAAATTTAGAATTTGTCGAAGCAAGTGGCCGTTCTTCGTATTCCTTCACTTGTTCTTCCAAGTCTGCAAATGCTTTGTTTAAATCTGTTTCGGAGTTTCGAGCTTCAAGTGACCATCGAGCCTGGTTTTCTATAAAAGTATTTACATTTTTAACAAGTTCATCAAGTGTAATGCTGGTAGGTGCAAATTTTTCTTCCCATCTAACACGATTTTCAAGCACAGATAAATCCAATTGTCGTGATGAAGAAATTGCTTGCAAGTCTGAAAAATTTTTGTTGAGGTTTTCCAATGCTTGTGTGAGTAAAGATTGATCAACGCTTTTACAATCAGCTTCTGCAATATCTTGAAGTAAAGTTTCAAGTTCACGTCGTAATTCACTGATATCTTCTACATCAGCTCTGGCATTTTCTTCGAGGAATTCTTCATGTTCTTGTTGCATTTTTTGAACTTCGGATTCTTTCCACGTGCATTCAACGACCAAAGGATCAATTTGACGATCATTCAATATTTGTAATCGACCTGCTATCCAATCTTGAATTCGTGCAGAATCCAAAAGACATTGATTTGCGCGTTGTTGAAGTGCAAGAGATGTTTGATATTTTTCATGAAGTTTATCAAGTGAACCTCCTAATTCTTTTAATGAATCATAACGATTATCAACAGCTTCTTTGATAACAGAATTTTCCGTGTGATCAACTTCATGCATTATTTCGTTGACTGGGAAAGGAACCTTAGACCCGATATTCTCCCACAAACTTTTGAGTTTATTATTGAATTCATTTACTTTGGTCTCTAAATCAATTTCACTAGGTCCCGATGCAACATTTTTCTCGGCATCGATCAATAGTTGCTGCAATTCAGTACCCATGGTTTCAAGATTTGAAGCTTCCGACATAAATTCGACTACCATACCACGTTGATCTAAAAGCGCACGGGCATAATCAACATGATCATTTAATTTTTTAACATTTGACTCGAGAAGAATTTGTCTTTTTTCGATATCAACACGGCGATCCTCTTTATCTGTTAATTTATCGCTGGCCAGAATAAATTGATCATAATTGGCTTTATTTTCGGCAATTTCATTTGATAGGTGTGAATCAACTTTTTCCTTGATTTCTTTAAATTCAATATTTAATGACTCAATGGATGATTTATCCTCAGGGGTATCAATTCTCCAAGCTGCTTTTGATGATGTGAAAACCTTGGTTTCATCGATTACATTATTGATCCAATTTAAAGATTTTTGATATGTATTTTCCCAAATGATACGTTTACCAACGGCATTTAATTCATTCGCTTCAACTTGAATTAAACTCTTTAGCGTTTCAAGATCATTTTCAAGTTTCTTGAGATTAGTAGTTAATGGATCTGTATCAATGTTTTTGGCTTTAGCGTCCTTGATATCTTCAAGTAGATTTTGAATCTTTGCACGTATACTATTAACTTCTTCTGTTTCGAAATTCTGAACTTTGACAAGAAGATCTTTATTCTCTTTCACTAAATTCTCTACTTCTGTATTCGTCACGGATAAGTTATCAGCAAACACATCGACGTGTCTCGCTTCAATGATTGGAATTTTTTCATTAATCCAATCATTCAATTCCTTTAGTTTATCTTCGCATCCTTTAACGCTACGATAGAGGGCAATCGAACGTTGAAAATTCAAGAGCAACTCTTGTAAGTCATCAAAAAGTTTCTGAAGCGAGTCATTCTTTTTCTCTATCGCATTTTTGACACTCTTGTTAAATGTAACATCATCAGCATTTTTTAAAGTTTCATCAACACTGATATCATCAACAATTTTGTTATCATCTTTACTACGTGATGGATACGGAACGATTTCTGCAAGTTCACGCCAAGCTTTATCAATTTTCTCTTTGAATAAAGTGATACGTTCAATGAAATCAGTATCATCATCCTTTCCTTCGGATAAAATTGTTGAAAGTGTTTGCATTAAATCGGATTTAATTTTTTCACCGTATAAGTCGGCCTCATCCGCTTCATTCATATAATCGATCACACTTTTATTTTGCTCAATGACTTTATGCGTATAATCGGATAAATCTTTTACTGACAAGAGATCATCATTGAGTTTCTTTTGCCTGGCGTGAATATGTTCAGGTGCGGTCTCGATGTTTGGTAATATATTGAATATATCGCAGAGATCGGTGAATGCATTTTGAGTATTTTTCAAAGAATTTTCTTCAAAATTTGAAATTTCTTCCTGCATATTTTTTAAAGATTCCAAGATTGTCTCGATGTCATTGTTATCATTGTCATTGTCCTTTTTATTTTCATTATTCTTCCATCGAGCTTGATTAATAAGAAGCCAGTTTGTTTTTGATATTGTCGAATTAATCCAATCATTAGCATCGGAATGTTGATCTTCCCATTCGACACGCTTATCAAGAACATAAAGTTCTTTTCCATGCGAATCGACCTTCGCGTCGAGATCTACTAATTTCTTGTCGAGATCCGACATTATCGAATCTAATTCATCGGTGTTTACGCATTTAGTACCGATAGATTTCACCTCGGAAATTAGCGCAGAAATTTTCTCGGAAAGAGATTTCAAATCTTGCTTCTTGAAATTTTCAATGTCAATGACAAGTTGATTATTATCTGTGAGAAACGTTTCAACATCTTGTTTGTTGTATTTACATTTTTCGGCGAATACATCCACTTTACGCTTTTTTAATAGTGAATTTTGTTGTTCGATCCATTTATCCAGCCGTTTAGCTTCTTTTTTATATTCTTCAGCTAATGTAACGAGACGTAAAGCACGTTCATATGCACGTAATGCTTCAACTATTTTTTCATATAATTCTCGCATTTTTCGATAATATTGATCGACACCTTCACGTACTCGCACATTTTCCGATTGATCGTGCCGAGGATCATCCGGATAAATAATTCTTGATCCTTTATTTGACCAGGCACTTTCAACACGATCATTGATTTCTTGTACGCGGGAATTGAATTTTTGCTGAATTTTACCACCACGAGGATTTGATTCTTCTTTGATTAAATCTTGTAATAGAACAAGACCATCTTTGTGAATTAAATTTGCCGAAAGAACGTATTCCAATATATCTTTACGCTGTACAATTACTCGTTTCGAGAAGCCGAAATAGTTTTCCAAGTCTTGGAGATCTCCTTCTTCGAGATTTTCTTGTTTCGTCATTAAATGATCGGGGACTTCAACAGTGGAAGTATCGACGAACTCATCAAATAAATCGGTGGTAGGTGGAATTGAAACATTTTTGAAGTCGTTGATTTTATCCTTTATATTTTCTGCTTCGGTATTAACTTCGCTTTGTTCTGGTTGTTGCGCAGGTTGTAACCAGCCATCTTCAGTTTGACCAATCGGAGGTTTCCATCTGGCACGATTAATGGTAAACTCCTTAATTTCTGAGATCAAAGAATTCCAAATATTCATTGCCCTATCAAATTCACGTTCCCATTGAACTCTTAATCCTAGCAATGCTAACTCATTTTCACGTCTTTTAAGTGCACCAAGTAAATGATCTAGAATTGTTAATGTTTGTAGGGTAATTGCAATTGTCATTGTATCCGCTGGAGACATTGCTTTATTCGCCTCCTCTTGAGTTCCCATTATTTCTTTTACATGAGCACATGGTGGAAGCTAAACGTCTGTTAGAAGAGCTTGATGCTTCGCACAAAGATTTAATATCACCTGATGCAAAAGATCAAAGTTATTTGCATAAATATAAAGAATATGAAGAATTGTATAAAATTGTAGAAAATTGGATTGAAGAAGTGCGAATCTGGTTTAAAGAAGCTGAACGTATTCGTATTTGGATCGAGAAAAGAATCGAAATCTTGGAAAATGTTGAGAAGGTTGATGTATTTCAGATGAGTGACATTTCGACTTTAGTTACCCAGGAGAAAGTAGATGCCTGGCAAAAAGACTTTGAAGAATTGGAAAAAGAAGTTGAGAAATTCGATGCTGGTGATATGGCTCGTTTACGTGCTCATGTAAAAGAAATAATGGGAACTCAAGAGGAGGCGAATAAAGCAATGTCTCCAGCGGATACAATGACAATTGCAATTACCCTACAAACATTAACAATTCTAGATCATTTACTTGGTGCACTTAAAAGACGTGAAAATGAGTTAGCATTGCTAGGATTAAGAGTTCAATGGGAACGTGAATTTGATAGGGCAATGAATATTTGGAATTCTTTGATCTCAGAAATTAAGGAGTTTACCATTAATCGTGCCAGATGGAAACCTCCGATTGGTCAAACTGAAGATGGCTGGTTACAACCTGCGCAACAACCAGAACAAAGCGAAGTTAATACCGAAGCAGAAAATATAAAGGATAAAATCAACGACTTCAAAAATGTTTCAATTCCACCTACCACCGATTTATTTGATGAGTTCGTCGATACTTCCACTGTTGAAGTCCCCGATCATTTAATGACGAAACAAGAAAATCTCGAAGAAGGAGATCTCCAAGACTTGGAAAACTATTTCGGCTTCTCGAAACGAGTAATTGTACAGCGTAAAGATATATTGGAATACGTTCTTTCGGCAAATTTAATTCACAAAGATGGTCTTGTTCTATTACAAGATTTAATCAAAGAAGAATCAAATCCTCGTGGTGGTAAAATTCAGCAAAAATTCAATTCCCGCGTACAAGAAATCAATGATCGTGTTGAAAGTGCCTGGTCAAATAAAGGATCAAGAATTATTTATCCGGATGATCCTCGGCACGATCAATCGGAAAATGTGCGAGTACGTGAAGGTGTCGATCAATATTATCGAAAAATGCGAGAATTATATGAAAAAATAGTTGAAGCATTACGTGCATATGAACGTGCTTTACGTCTCGTTACATTAGCTGAAGAATATAAAAAAGAAGCTAAACGGCTGGATAAATGGATCGAACAACAAAATTCACTATTAAAAAAGCGTAAAGTGGATGTATTCGCCGAAAAATGTAAATACAACAAACAAGATGTTGAAACGTTTCTCACAGATAATAATCAACTTGTCATTGACATTGAAAATTTCAAGAAGCAAGATTTGAAATCTCTTTCCGAGAAAATTTCTGCGCTAATTTCCGAGGTGAAATCTATCGGTACTAAATGCGTAAACACCGATGAATTAGATTCGATAATGTCGGATCTCGACAAGAAATTAGTAGATCTCGACGCGAAGGTCGATTCGCATGGAAAAGAACTTTATGTTCTTGATAAGCGTGTCGAATGGGAAGATCAACATTCCGATGCTAATGATTGGATTAATTCGACAATATCAAAAACAAACTGGCTTCTTATTAATCAAGCTCGATGGAAGAATAATGAAAATAAAAAGGACAATGACAATGATAACAATGACATCGAGACAATCTTGGAATCTTTAAAAAATATGCAGGAAGAAATTTCAAATTTTGAAGAAAATTCTTTGAAAAATACTCAAAATGCATTCACCGATCTCTGCGATATATTCAATATATTACCAAACATCGAGACCGCACCTGAACATATTCACGCCAGGCAAAAGAAACTCAATGATGATCTCTTGTCAGTAAAAGATTTATCCGATTATACGCATAAAGTCATTGAGCAAAATAAAAGTGTGATCGATTATATGAATGAAGCGGATGAGGCCGACTTATACGGTGAAAAAATTAAATCCGATTTAATGCAAACACTTTCAACAATTTTATCCGAAGGAAAGGATGATGATACTGATTTCATTGAACGTATCACTTTATTCAAAGAGAAAATTGATAAAGCTTGGCGTGAACTTGCAGAAATCGTTCCGTATCCATCACGTAGTAAAGATGATAACAAAATTGTTGATGATATCAGTGTTGATGAAACTTTAAAAAATGCTGATGATGTTACATTTAACAAGAGTGTCAAAAATGCGATAGAGAAAAAGAATGACTCGCTTCAGAAACTTTTTGATGACTTACAAGAGTTGCTCTTGAATTTTCAACGTTCGATTGCCCTCTATCGTAGCGTTAAAGGATGCGAAGATAAACTAAAGGAATTGAATGATTGGATTAATGAAAAAATTCCAATCATTGAAGCGAGACACGTCGATGTGTTTGCTGATAACTTATCCGTGACGAATACAGAAGTAGAGAATTTAGTGAAAGAGAATAAAGATCTTCTTGTCAAAGTTCAGAATTTCGAAACAGAAGAAGTTAATAGTATACGTGCAAAGATTCAAAATCTACTTGAAGATATCAAGGACGCTAAAGCCAAAAACATTGATACAGATCCATTAACTACTAATCTCAAGAAACTTGAAAATGATCTTGAAACGCTAAAGAGTTTAATTCAAGTTGAAGCGAATGAATTAAATGCCGTTGGTAAACGTATCATTTGGGAAAATACATATCAAAAATCTTTAAATTGGATCAATAATGTAATCGATGAAACCAAGGTTTTCACATCATCAAAAGCAGCTTGGAGAATTGATACCCCTGAGGATAAATCATCCATTGAGTCATTAAATATTGAATTTAAAGAAATCAAGGAAAAAGTTGATTCACACCTATCAAATGAAATTGCCGAAAATAAAGCCAATTATGATCAATTTATTCTGGCCAGCGATAAATTAACAGATAAAGAGGATCGCCGTGTTGATATCGAAAAAAGACAAATTCTTCTCGAGTCAAATGTTAAAAAATTAAATGATCATGTTGATTATGCCCGTGCGCTTTTAGATCAACGTGGTATGGTAGTCGAATTTATGTCGGAAGCTTCAAATCTTGAAACCATGGGTACTGAATTGCAGCAACTATTGATCGATGCCGAGAAAAATGTTGCATCGGGACCTAGTGAAATTGATTTAGAGACCAAAGTAAATGAATTCAATAATAAACTCAAAAGTTTGTGGGAGAATATCGGGTCTAAGGTTCCTTTCCCAGTCAACGAAATAATGCATGAAGTTGATCACACGGAAAATTCTGTTATCAAAGAAGCTGTTGATAATCGTTATGATTCATTAAAAGAATTAGGAGGTTCACTTGATAAACTTCATGAAAAATATCAAACATCTCTTGCACTTCAACAACGCGCAAATCAATGTCTTTTGGATTCTGCACGAATTCAAGATTGGATAGCAGGTCGATTACAAATATTGAATGATCGTCAAATTGATCCTTTGGTCGTTGAATGCACGTGGAAAGAATCCGAAGTTCAAAAAATGCAACAAGAACATGAAGAATTCCTCGAAGAAAATGCCAGAGCTGATGTAGAAGATATCAGTGAATTACGACGTGAACTTGAAACTTTACTTCAAGATATTGCAGAAGCTGATTGTAAAAGCGTTGATCAATCTTTACTCACACAAGCATTGGAAAACCTCAACAAAAATTTTTCAGACTTGCAAGCAATTTCTTCATCACGACAATTGGATTTATCTGTGCTTGAAAATCGTGTTAGATGGGAAGAAAAATTTGCACCTACCAGCATTACACTTGATGAACTTGTTAAAAATGTAAATACTTTTATAGAAAACCAGGCTCGATGGTCACTTGAAGCTCGAAACTCCGAAACAGATTTAAACAAAGCATTTGCAGACTTGGAAGAACAAGTGAAGGAATACGAAGAACGGCCACTTGCTTCGACAAATTCTAAATTTAATGAATTGGAAGCCGCAATAAAAAAATTCCTCTCAAAAGAAACCCCAGAACATATAACAGCACGTCAAATTGCTCTAAATCAAAAATTCTCTGATCTATTGTCTAGAATGAATCTCGCTAAACAGGTTCTGGCACAACGAGATTCAGTTGATGCATTCATGAAACAAGCAGATATCGTACAAAAGGAAGGCGAATTGCTTAAATCGAAAATTACCTCTGCTGAAGAAAAAGGCGAATCAGATTCCGGATTTTCAGATAAATTAGCAACCTTTAAAAATGATTTAAATGATCTAAAAACAAATTATGCAGAAAAAATTGTTCATCCTAACGATCCATTAGCCTCTGAAGACCTGAACGTTCCGATTAAAGAGGTTCTTTTAATTATTTTTAAATTTTAAAACTTTTCAAATAGTCCAATTTATATTAACTGAATTATAACGATTCTCTAGGCCATCGATAATCAACTTGCATTGCTTGACGCTTTATCTAAAGAGTTGGATGATTTACTAAACTCCTACCAAGACACCATGGATTTATCTGGAAATCTCGCAAAAGGATTAAAAGAAGCCAAAGACATTGAAAGCCAGCTCGATAAATTTATATTCACCAAAGCCAATTGGGAATCCAATCAAAATTCAATAGAAGATAATGACAATCTAGAAGAAATTCGCGAAAAACTTCTTCTCGAACTTGATGCTATCAAAGAAAATTTGTCCAAATTTGACGAAAATACTTTACATCCAGTCAATGAAAAATTCAATAATTATAAATCGAAAATGGAAGCATCCGAAAAACAAGTCCCAGAACACGTTCGATCACTGCATAAAGCTCTCAATGATCTGGTTGATGGATTAAAACTCCTTGACGATTTCGCAAGAGATATTATTAAACAACGTGTAATAGTCGATCAATACATGAAAGATGGTGCTCAACTTGAAAACGAAGCACGTCAAATCCAACAGGTTCAGTGTTTTATATTTTTTAATCTTATCGTCATTATCGATTATAGTGGAAAATGTAATTTAATATGTTGTTCTTCTTAGATCCTCTTAATGAATCATCCGAGTTCTCCTGGAGGCGAAGGAAATACTGTGTCAACTGTCGTTGAAAATTTTGCAAATAGGGTTCAAGAACTTTGGGACGACCTTTCGAGTAAAATCATATATCCAACTTGTCCAGTTCAAAATGAGGAAGATCGTATGAGTCGCACGGATGATAGCAATTCCGTAATTCGTGAAGCAGTTAATGCGCAGAATGAATCATTAAAATCTTTAGCAAATAGTCTCAATGATTTATTGTATACTTTTCAGTGTGTTTTGCGACGCAAGAAGATGCTAGAATCTTATTTACATCAGGCAGCCGACATTGCAGCATGGATTCAACCGAAATTAAACATTGTGCAAAACGTGGCAAATGATCAGAATCTCGGGGAACAAACAGAAGATCATCTTCGTGAACTTATTGGTGAAGTCGATGGTATTGATGCAGCTCACACTGCTTATCATAGCGCATTTGAATTTGCTAAAAGTCTAGCTACTAGCATGATCGAAGAGATGACATTAGAAGTCGAACAAGGTGGCGATGACATCGAAGATATCAAGAATGATTTGGAATCGGTGCGTAAGAAACAAGAAGAAATTGATCAATTATGGGATGCATTGAGTTCGACAGTTCAAGCAGCAAAACAAATTCTCGACCAAGGATTGGAAGTCGTTGAATTTAAACAAAAAGTGGATGAAACTTTAGCAAAAATTAATGACTTATCTAATGCCATGTTAAATACACCACCCGAGCAAATATCTCCTCAACTTAAAGACTGGCAAATTAAGTTGAATTCATTAGAGCAAAATGATCTCTTCTCTTTGATCAAACTATTTGATAATGTGCAAGAAAACTTGAAAGAAAATCCAAGCGCGATTTCTGATAAAGAATCTAAGGTACTTGAGGACAAATTGCGAGGAGTTAATGACGCAATTAGCGCATTGAAAAAATTGCTAAATCAAAAGATTGATGAAGCCGAAGCATATCGATCATCACAGATTGCTAATGCGTACATGGATCGTGCCCGAGATTTACAGCAATGGATAAATGATTCAGTTGCAAAATTCAAAGATACACTTAAACACGGGATTATGGTTGGTAATCTTGAAGAACAAAATAAAAATAACTGGAATATACTAAACTCTGTTTTTGAAGAATTCAAAAATCAAGTTCAAGAACGATTTGATCAACTGGAAAGCATTCGTGCCGAGTTTAAAGACATTGCAGCACAAGAAGGTATTCGAGAGCTCGATGAAATTATAGCGTTGAGTTCTCAGTTAGATGCTGCTTGGGAATACCTTGATAAAGCGACAACTGAAATGCAAGAATTTGTCGACAAAGTAGAACAATGGTATAATCGTCATGCAACCATTTATCAAGTTGAAAGTGAAATATTAGAAGGATTATCCGACAGAATTAATAAATTGGCTAGCATCAATTATGAAAATCTTGCAACGGAGGTTAATGAATTGGATAGTCTTATTAAGCATGCTAATTTTGTACTCGATGAAGTTAAAAACGCATTCCCTAAAATCTCTGATAAGCCGGGAGACCTAATCGATCAAACCAATCGCCACAATTTCGATGAACACCATTCTGACGCACTAAAAAGACTAAATACTCTTTCAGCCTCTTTCCAGGTTGCTCTTAAGGCTGCTCATAATGCTTCAGCTTTGGCAGCTTTTCATGCTGAAGCTAATCGTATTATTGCTTCTTGCCAAGAAGAATCAGACATTATACAATCACGTCATGAAGATTTACAAAACAAAGGATTTTATGCTCTCGAAGCTGAAGCCTTGGAAAGAGTATTAAAAGATTCAATTGAAGGTTATAACGACGCATATGAAAAACAATTAAATTATGACGATAAAATCAACGATCAACTTAAACGAGAGGCTGATCAACTCATCGAACTTAACCCTGCTGTAAATAAGGATCGAATCTTGAACATTTTCACCAGAGTAACAGATGCTTTAAATCAATTCTCTGAAGCTGTTTCACGCGAGCGTAGTGAACTTGAACTTGTTCGACATGTTCTATCGCATACAAAAGCTGCACAGGAAATCAAATCGTGGATACAAGGATGTAAGATGGCAGTGTTAAGTATTCAAGTAGATAATATTGATCAAGATGTCGAAATTGCCGACTTAGAAGAAAAAATTGCCAAATTTCAGCACACTGTTGATCAATTCCAAAATGTGAGCCATAATAATGTATTAAAAAATATTGGTGATACACAATATAACGAGGACAATTCTAGAATTAAAGAAGCAACTCAACAACGAACAAATCGTGTATTGGATGATTGGAATGGACTCAAAGCTATGATAGCATCTGCACGATCTAGTCTCAACGCCTCACGAGAAAGTCAAGAGGTCACACGTGCTATCAAGGATATTTTAATGGCAATCGGACAGGTTAAAGATCGAGTACTA